TCCGAATTATTTACAATTGTTCTACGAAGAGCAAAAAAAATGTTCGAACGTTATATTATAATTTTGACTGAAGTGAATTTATACGAGAGACAATTTGTTATATTCCATAATGGATAAGTCGAATAAATGTTATCATACTGTCAGCTGAAAACGAGACGTCAACGAAAGATAAGCAGTCGTCATCCGGAAAGGATGATGATGATCACGAGAGCAGCAACGATGACGATCACGTGCCAGTAGCACACTCGGTACCGAGACCAGGCATTCATTCGCTTCGTGCGAAATGTAAACGAAACGAGAAGGCGAGAATGAAAGAAATAATGGAACAAAAACGCGCTGAAATGATCAAAAAAGGAGTAATCCAATTGTCGATTTACGATTTGATTCGCCTTGAAATAATGCATATGCGAGGCAAGAAGAACCCACTTATGATGCCGAAAGCAAAACCGAAGAGAGTGGAACGCGAGGCCGTATTCAAACGAGTCCCGCACCAACAGTTACCACCAACCTCTGGCGGTGTGTTCTGCATGCCTCCCAAGAAAAAGAAACCTAAACCTGCCACTGCACATGTCGCTTTCGTTGGTTTTTCTTATCACAATTCTTATCAGTCATATTCTATTACATCGCTTGTTGTAGTCATATAGCACTTCGATGACGATAACTGAATTGATCTTTTTTNTTTTTTACGTCATGCACTGGAATATTTATGTGCATGATTATAATCAAAGAAACTCTGATTAAAAAACATCTGGAAAATGGAATGAATTATACGCCTTTGATGAATCGTGTATCCTGTCGTTTTGTAGCCATTATCAACTAAAGAGAAAAAAGTTGTGAAACGTGACAAAATGGTTCAGCCGAAAAGAAAAGTGATTTCAGAGAGGTTCACTTTTGTGCAATTATTTTGAGTGTCTTTTCTCGACTTCACGCTGCTTTACGGATTGAATTCATACGAGCTAATTGCGACCGCGAAAAATCATTCGAATGCCTTGCTGATTTTTGAACATTTCGAACAATACAGCTTTTCATAACTTCCAGTTGGAATTCAGTTATCGGACGCAAATTTGCTCGGTAATGTTCAAAAAACTTGAAAGAATCAACTTACAGGGAGATTGCACCTGTTTCATATAAACCAGCATCATCAAGTTCATCTACTTCTTCATCGGTTTGTAATTAGGATGTGCATTGTTTTCCTTCCTTGAAATCGTTCCGAATTCCCAACGAGGCAATATTCTCTGACTTTTTCAGAGAGCCAAATGATCATCCAATAGATCACATAGACACTATCAGTTTACCTGTTTCACAATTCGTAACGCTTTGTTGATTTCTTGAAATCCAACTTAAGTTTCATGTGAATCCAGCTGAACTGGTTTATTTTTCGAAGTTTGTTCGAACTGTGGTTTACTGGTGAATAAAAACTGATCGTTATCAAGCAGAGAAAAAAAATCCAACAAGTTTTCCATNGGCTTAGCCAAATACCTAATTTCAGTGCTTGAGGAATTGACGAATGACGAAACTTTAACGAAGGAATTTGATGAGCTCTATGGTTACTCGGATGCTAAAACCGCTAAATCATCCGATCGGTCCAAGAAACAGAAACTGTTCAAGAAAAAATTGCAGTTGGTGTGTTGTGCATTCATGTCGAGTAATATGACGTTTTTGTCGTTTTGTGGTTTGGTTCCGAATTTTTGGTCAAACAAGCAATTTCAACTGATATGTCAGATGCTACTCTCTGAGCTGCAGATGCTATCGCACGTTCTTGCATTTCAACATTTGAAAATGTGCACTTCTTATGCTTTCACTTTACTTAGCTTCTCTTTGCCATATTTGTTAATCCACTGATTGAATTCTCAATATGAAATCATGGTGAAGATTTTTCAATATTTACATTTTATGATAGAGTTGAATGGGGAGAATTCCTTGGCCCTACCCTCAGTGGCCTGGAGGTTGGATTAAGCCAGATTTCGCTCATGATTGAGCGATACCAGGAAGAATATGCGAAAATCATGCTTTGAACAATGGGCGATGAGAGTAAAATAAACCGAAAGTAGGGTTCGAGGATCTTCGACCCTGCAGCTTTTTCATTTGAAGAAACTGTTCATAGTTTTGCAGCGAATCGCAAAATTGGCTAAAGAATTTAATAACTGTAAAAAACCGTCGAGGAAAACAACGGAAGAGACGAAGAAACACGATATGCCTGAAAAGAAAAAACATTTGTAATCATTATCATTCTGGAATGAACATTAAATGTCAACTTTGAATGTGACACTGTTTTTTGTTTTGATCCAACAACAACTACACAACAGATCATTCGTTGTTTTGTAATAATACATTTTCGGATAATTTTAATGAACAACCATCAGAAATTTCTCGTTGGCTTAAATTCATCACACCAAGAGGATTTGCAATACGGAATTCATGATGAAGATGTTTCGAGGTTTAATTTTATGGTAGGGCTGAGACGAGAGTACGTCTTGTTTTCCAACTGAATCATAATCAAGCCTAGAATTAAAAGGAAAAAAACGAAATGACTGATTGGCTCTTTTCTAGCATCACAAAATAATTCTATTCTAAAGTCGAACGAATGTAATTAAGCCTACTGACTGACGAATTTCGACCATGTCAACATGTAAACAACGAACAGTTTCTGTTTAAAGCGAGTCTTTAAGAGTTGGGAATAAGATCGACATCGAACATGCGATAGCTTTCAGAAAACCGAATTCGTTTCCTCATATAACGTTTTCTTAAATCTTCAAAACAATGAGTAGTCATTCATCAATGGTCAAATGCTTGACTGAATCTAGTCCGTACCTGCTGCAACACTTCCTTGTCTTACGTCAGCATTCGATCTCAATTTATGTTAAATGCTAGTCATAAATCATCTTGAATGGTTATTATATAATGAAAATCATCTTTTTTTTTTGAGAGAGAGCAATGCTAACGATTAGGTGCATGACAATAACAGATTATAACAGTGCTGTCACCGCTCACCATACAGGTAAATACTAGTAACCTCAGTTTGTGTTGGTGATGATAATTGTAGTAATTACTATTATTATCACCAAATTGAAAATATTACTTACAATTATTATTATTTTGGAGTGACCAGAGTTGGATGGAAATGCTGATTATAGATAATGACTGCCCATGAGTTATACCATCGATCACTCATACTCTATTATGTAAATTTACATTTGCCATCGACAGTGGTAAGTAGCATACATTAAGAGTTATTCATATTCAAATATGGATGCTGATAGAAATTCATTGTTTGTATTCGTACAATCTGCGATGCATTCATCGTGTTGTATTCGTTTATATTATCTAATCGAATTCAGATGAATTTATTTGAAATTCTTTGATTGCATTAAGTTCTAATATGAGTTCTGACGATTTCGTATGTTTCGTTGATCAATGAATACTTGAGAATGATCTAATTTAGTTTAACGAGTTATTTGAGTCATATTCTGTTTGTATGTAAGGATAAGTTGAATTTTGCACAATATGCTCAGTTCCTAATTAATGAGATTGTTTTGTTTGCGAAATGAGATCAATTGTTTTTCAATTATACTGAAACGTGAATTGTTCGCTATCCGATGCGGTTATCGCTGTTCTCTAGATGAATCAGTATGAATCGCTCTTTCTGATGGAATATTAAGATAATTTGAGATAGTGATCTGTTTTAGGGAGTCAACTTGCGAACGAAAACAATCTGTCCTTAAATACAGACGACGAACGCAGTTCCTTTATGTTCATATGTGCAGTTTTTGAATACCTTTGCAAGGAATATTTGAATACAAGGAATATGAACTTACATTCACCAGTCACCATCATGAATGCATTCAGCCAAAGTGATTTGATTTCTAGTTTTCGAAAACAATGTGGAATTGAATTTGATCATTATTGGATCACCGTCCATCCCCAAAA